GCAAGCCTCCCCCAACCTTCCTCCTTTTGTTTTCACCTACCCCTTCTCCATTGGAGGAATAGGTAGCCAATGGCTGTGAATGAATTCCAACTCACTAACTTGTACAGAAAAAGGCAGATCATGGGCCAGGTGTGTGCACGGGGGCACTGCCTTTCTCCTGTGGCCTCGGCCTATACTCTGGTCTCTGAGGCTTGAGGTAGTGAGGGTCAAGGAGAGGGGACCTAGAACAGAGAAAGAAGGACGAGGTGTGGCCTTATTTAGTAGTCCACCCATAGTCCTTTGGCTGGGGAGGGATGGAGCTGTCACCAAGACGTCCAGGGAAGCCCACAACTGGTTGAACCCAGAGCCTCTCCATTCACAGAGCAGTTTGTTCCTGCATCAATTTTTAAATGCATACAAAAGACTTAAAAGCAAATGTGTTCATATTCATAGTTTTATTTATTGTTAAGCTTTTTTTCCAGGTAAATGTTGAGGTTTAGACTAAAAAACTAGCAATATAAACGAGGGTAATTATTTTTACAATGCCTTTAGCACGTGCTGGGTTTTTTTTCTTCTTTCACAAAAAGGTTTTGCTTTATTGTGCAGGAAAAAAAGAAAAAAAAAACCTACCCACAGCATTCTGAGTCATCTTGAGTCGAACAGAGTTGTCTGTCCTCATCACCTCATTAGGATACTTGACAATAATTCACAGATCTTTGTGGATAATCCGCAGGCTTTCAGATACTGCCTGGAATAGTGATAAACACTGTATTTTTTAAAATAGTGTAACTGTTACATGTTTCCCTCAGGCGATTAGCCTCTGTTGCCACAAGTTAACCTGCTTCTATCCCCAGAAACTAACCATTTGGTCTGTCTGTTCAGAATTATCATGTATTTCCTTTTTCCCTCTAGGTAGGTCACTAGATTCCTTTGTGAACAGTGGGCATCAAACAGCCATTAAAAAAAAAAAAACCTAAATATGTGCAAAATGCAGCTGTTAATATTTCTCAAGAGTATTGAGTCATATTGAGTCAGATTATGTGAAATTACGAAATACTATCAGAAAAGGGCACTTTACATACCATAAGAGTCATTTATAAAGTTCAATTTGGCAATTCCAAGTCACATTTAATTTCCTCTGAAAATTCCCACACGGCAGAAAGATATTGCTCTTTGTGGCTTTCAAGTCTATGTCAGGGAACTGTAAAATGACAACCTTTTGGAATTAGCACTTTTTCTATAAATAGACACTAAATCACTTTGCCAAATAAAGTCACATATGTATTTTCATTAAAATAAATACTAAAATAATAAGTAATTTTGCTATATAACCATCTATGAAAATTAGAATTTTGTATTACAGTGCAGTATGAATCATTTGTAGTTCTTCATCTTCACTGATAGGTGGGGCTAGTAATTTCTGTATTAATTATAATATTTTAGCATGTTAAAATCTGTATCTAGATGAAGCAGATACTTCAAAGCTTCAAAACTGATGAAACTGCATACTTCTCTTTTAAGGGATAAAACTGTTTGCATTAATATATGAAATACACTACTAAAATACCCCCTGCTGATTTCATAGGCTTTGCAGGGAGTTATGCATAATTTTCTGAAAATTAAAGGAGTGAGGATCAGTATTTATGATGATAAAAATTAGATCTCAAGAACTATTAGAAACTTGGAAGATTCTTCTAAAATGGAATTTTAAAAATTCAGCTCAACAATTATTTAACATATGCCAGAGGTAAAAGAACAGAGTAGGACTCAGAAGATCAGAGTTTAAGATTCAGCTGCACACTTACCAGCACCATAACAGGGCTTACCTGATACCTTTGTAAACCTACATCAGAGAATTGAAATGAGAATTAAGTGAAGTAACTTGGGAAACTTTGTAAGTAATAGGTTGGAACTTCACAAATGTTGGTTATTGATGTAGCATGGTATAAGACAGTAATTCTCCTGGGCGCCTGGGTGGCTCAGTTGGTTAAGCGACTGCCTTCGGCTCAGGTCATGATCCTGGAGTCCCAGGATCGAGTCCCACATCGGGCTCCCTGCTCAGCGGGGGTCTGCTTCTCCCTCTGACCCTCTTCCCTCTCGTGCTCTCTGTCTCTCATTCTCTCTCTCAAATAAATAAATAAAATCTTTAAAAAAAAAAAAAAAAAAAGACAGTAATTCTCCTATTCAGATTAAGGATAAATTCTCAGGAATCCACAAATTCTCCATGTAAATGTGTTTTTACACCTTTTAATTTTGTTTTTTTTATCTTGGTGCTATATCTTTTTTTTTTAAATTTATTTATTTGAGAGAGAGAGAGAGAGAGAGAAAGCATATAAGCTGGAGGGGCAGGGGGAGAGGGAGAGAGACCCCTCACTGAGCATGGAGCCCCACGCTGGGCTCCATCTCAGGAATCTGAGATCAGGACCTGAGCCAAAACCCAAGACTTGAATACTTAACTGACTGAGCCACCCAGGCAACCTGATGATTGTTGGCGCTAATCTTTAAAAAAGTTCATGTAAGCACATTCTAGATCATCTGAATATCCTCCTTATAACTGCCACGCAACATATATATTCAGGATAGCACTAGCGCCAAGTAATTTAACTTCATTTGTTTCCAAGTTAATGAAAACAGATACAAGCAGACTTTAATAGGTAGCTTCCATGTTCCTCCAAGGGAAAGGCAGGGTACAATGGCAAAAATTCTGAGCAGATTTGGTGGTAATTTGGATCCAAAAAACTGATGAGAAAATCATTACATGGCACACTATAACTTTAGTAAGCTGAACTCTAAGAAAACAAAATCCTGCCAGTCTGCATTAAAAGCAGTGATTTAACACCTTGCATCATTTATATTGATTTTGTAGCTTTGCATATATTTACTGATTGTTTTAGTTAAATAGCCATAGGAAAACTGTAAACTTAAGCTTATACTCAGATTCATATTCCATTTATGTAAATAAGATCATAAAATTAACATACATTAGTTAACTTAAAAATAATTTAACTTGAGGGCTGTGGCCCATGAGATCAGAACTCAGAAAAAAAAAAAAAAAACTTTAGTTAAATCTTCTTTCTGTACTTTGCTATGCGATCCTGGGTAAGTCAAATTACCTCCTTCACCGTAAAATAACAATAACAATCTCGTTCACATAAGAACACTATGAGGAGTAAATGAAATAATTAATATAACTGTGAATGAATGCCTTTCCCAGCTATAGTATGCTGTGGAATATAAGGACTCTGAATCAAGAGTTTAGGCTTTCAAACTACACTTCGATGCCACCTTGGGCAAATCACCTTACCTCTTTGAGAGTCACTTTCCAATTTTCTAAAGCTTGGAGCTATGTCAGATTATCTCACAGTTCCTTTTAATATAGCTATAACAGAAGGTGGTTGGGTTTTCCACTGAGATTCCAATGAAAATTTCATTCATTTGATTTCACTCATATCATATCCACAGCTACTTGGTTTTCCATTAGCTTTATTTTAAACTTACTACTCTGAGAAATAAAAAATGTTATGATTCACTTGTGATCAAGGCAGCAATTTGCAAAAAGAACAGGGTCAGAAAAGCTAAATTCTCCTATATAGCAGAGATTTCAATCTTTCTTTGCTTTGTTCTTTCTCTGTTATAATAGACAGAATTCAGATTTGAGTCTTTGTACTTAGAGGTAACCATCCTAGGCAAGTCAAATGACCTCTCAACATTGACTGTGCTGCTTAAAAAGCAGGCTCTGGACATAGACTTGTGGATTGAAATCCTGATTCCACTACTTACTAGCTATGCAGTCTAGGACAAATTGCTGAACCTCTCTAAGCCTTTATCTTTGTAACAGTTAATGAGATAACAGCTGTAAAGCACTCAACTGTGAAGCCTGGTACTTAGGGAAAGGGCTCAATGAATGTTAGCTATTATTAGTATTATCATGTTCATTTCCCTTCCTTTTCATCCTTACCTTTCCAGTTACTGCAAAAAGAGACTGCAATAATTGGGGCATGGAGGGGCAATAAGAAAACTTTGGGAAGGCAAACAAGAAGTGGCAAATAATACTCACTGCAAAGGCAGGTGACTAGAAAGAGCAGCTACCATACATGTCCAGAAATTTAGACTGGATCTGGGTTCTACAATTTTCTAGCTTTGTGAATATCAATTAATTTATATCACCTCTCCTAAGTTTTTGTTTCCTCCGCTCTAACCTGAGACTAGGAATATTTATATCATAAAACTGCTTTAAAAAAAATTCGATATACGCGAAAACACTTCCTGAACTCTAAACAAGGCGGTTTTTCTCATTGACTGGATACGTTTAGAGGGGGAGCAGAAGAATTGGATTCTATTTCTGGCCTTCTCACTGCAAAACTGTGCTCCTATCTTTTAACCCCTCTGGCCGCGTTCATCCACTAGATCATTACGGTAGTAACGGCCACCATTGATTACGGGCTTAACGTATGCCATGCATTGCACTATGTTCTGAATCTGCACACCAGACGACTTCTCTCATTTAGTTCTTGCGATTTTAAGATAGATATGTCCATTTTACAGGTGAAAAACTAAGGAAGAAAGAAGTTAGAAACCTGCCATCCGGCACCTACAATGCTAACGTTCTAAAAACATCTACCATAAGAGAAAATCGTTAGCAACCAATAGCGTTGCCTCTATCATTAGCTTTCCCACAATTATCCAGAGAGGTATTAGACACGTCTATCCGCCGGGAGAATTCACCCAAGGGTGTTGCTAGGCTCCTCGGTCCTCTGCTCCGCCCCTCCGCGTTCCTGTCCAGGCCCCGCCTCGCCCCGCCCCCCGGGGCCGCTCTGGCCACCGCCCACCGAGGAGAGACCCCGCCCTCCCCGCGCCTCCACACCCTGAAGGGCGAAAAGCAGCGCGTACCCAGCCTGCAATGCGCCTAGCGAGACGCAGCGCATGCGCTCTGGGTGCGCCCAGATTTCCTGTCTGTCCACTGCGCTTCCGGCGAGGTATATCCGACCAATAAGGTCGGCTCGGAGGTGGGCCTTAATGCTCCCCGCTCCCGCCCCCCTTTCCTTCCGTGGATGATTTAAGAGCAGCGCTAAGAGTCCGCGGTGAGGCTTGGACGGTTCCGCGGGGCTTTATGGCTGCTTCTGGGATGCTGAGCACTTTTCGTCTCCCGCCGTTGCCCACGATTCGAGAAATCATTAAGTTATTCAGGCTGCAAGCAGCGAAGCAGCTATCCCAGAATTTTCTCCTGGACTTGAAGCTGACAGGTGGCTGTCTTCTCAGTGCTCCCCCTCATCTCCGGGGACGTGGGCCGGGGGTTTCGCGCGGACCCTGTGGGCGGGTGTCTGGTGTCAGGCAGTGTGCAGCGGGCCATAGGTCAGGTCCTTCTACCGCTTTGTGCTGAAAGAACCCTGGAGCACCGCCCAGGAGACGCGTGGAATGAGTTGTTCGCCCGCAGAATGGCGTGCTCGCGGGCGTTTGCTGTGGGCGAGGGAAGGCAGGTTATGTAGACGTCGAGCAGACACTAGAGGAGGCAGGGGTCGCGCATCATGAAAGGCGGTTGTGGAAATTCGAATCTCGGTGTGTTAACACTATGAAAGCGTACTGCATGTGTGACTAGTTTTGTTTTCCATGGAATTTAAAGTTACCAGAATTTAAATTAGTGCGGGGAGTTTTTCAATAACATGTCGAAAAAGAATCACTCGTGGGATTACGTTATTTAAACGTTTACTTGTTGAATCCAAAACCCTCGAGGCGCAAATATTCAGTAAATACATATCAGACAAGCTACTATGTGCTAGTACTGGAGATGCAGTTCGGGAGTGAACAAGGCCAAGCCTGTCGTCAGGGAGCTTACATTTTAAGTAAGTTCACATTTCCACCCTTTATTTTAAGTCACTTTTATGAGGTAACATTTACGTGCAATAAAATGAACCAGTTAAAAGAGCACAGTTTGATGAGTTTTGACAGACATACGCATTCGCTTAACCGCTACCCCCATTTCTTGGTGATATTTTCTTCTAAAAGGTGAGGTTGCAAGAATAACATGTATTATAAGTATGTCCACTAATTTACTGTTGGAGTATTTACTGTATTTGAGGTTTTCATATTTAATTCCATTTTGGCCCCTCATGAGAAGCTGAAAAGATCAGTAAATCATACCCAAAAAGTTCATTTTCAGTTAAATGAAGTATAGTCCACAAACCATGAATAACATGTTTTATTTCTTGGATGTGGAGTCTTTATTCTGCTAGTAGAAATATGATTTTGGGTAAAATAGCTTAACTAAGCTTCAGTTTCTCATTTGTTAATTGGAGGAAAGCCCCTACTGCAAGAACTTTAAAGGGTTACCCACCTCTAAAATTCTTTAGTTCTAGTAGTAACTAGAATCAGCCTTGTCTGCAAGTCGTTAGTCACATTTTGCAGGTATAAAGCACCATTCTTAAGACGGAAAATATAAGTCTTTATATTTTTAATGTAGAAAAAAATCATTTATAGTATCGTGTGTGCCTTAATTCACTCTCAGGAGTAAATTCGGGAACCCAAGGGAAGGGAGATTAAAGTATTTGTCTGAGGTGAGAAGCTCAGGTGGGAGCAGATGCTTCCTGAATTGACAGTGCCTTTTTGATACTCATTTGTATTTGAATGTGCCTGAAAAGTTTGAGGGCAGAGCCCCTGACCTCTCAACTATACTAGCTCTCCATTTAGGAAAATGAGAATATTAAATTCATAATGCCTGTGCTTAAGGTATCAATTCTATTCCTTCTAAAAGGCATTGTTCTGGAGTGGAGGAAGGATTGCTTTAGAATTTACACCTGAGCTGGAGTCCCTTCTCCTCCATTTGCTTTCTAGATGACCTTGCACAAATCAAACAATAGACAAGGAAATTGAAAAGTTCAGAGAAGTTAAATTGGGATAGTAGTTCTTAATGTGTTGGAAGGATTGGAAGAATTGTGAGATGCAAGTGAGAAAGCATGTAAAGCACCTAAAACAAATGGTTGGTGAGCATATTACTAATTCCCTCCCAGCACCAGTTAAAAGACAAAACTATTTTAGGGTGGCTCAGTTGGTTTAGTGTCCCACTCTTGATTTCTGCTCAGGTCATGATCTTGGGGTGGTGAGATTGAGCCCAGCCTGGGGCTCCACGCTCAGCGGGGAGTCTGCTTGAGATTCCTTCTCCCTCTGCCCCTCCCCCTCACTCTTTCTCTAAAATAAATCTTAAAAAAAAAAAAGACAATTATTTTTGCCTTTAAGCCTACAAAAATGGTAGTATACATCTCTGAACACGGCAAAGAAGTGCTGGTATGTTTTCAGTGGCTAAATTTCCACTATCCCAGGAGGCCCAGTTACTTGGATTTTAGTATCTCAGTCAGTAAGACCAGCCCATTGTATGTTTTTCCAGAAGTGATAATTGGTTGCAATGAATCCTCAATAATCTTTTTCATGATTTCTTAAGCTCTGTTAACTTAGAGGTTGATTAATTTAAAATACTAACTTTTCCATATCAATTTGCATATTTGCAAAGCTTTCAACACCTCCGCTGGTAAGTTTAACTTTTTCCTAAAAATGACCAAGAATCTAAATTTCTGCTAGTCCTATGAGTAGAGTAGGAAGGAACAAGTAGGTAAGAACTTGTTGCTGTGGCCTTATTGACCAACTAGATGTCTGTAGGTAAAAATGAGACTACCAGCACTATTTTGCTTTGGGATTTCAAACTAGCAGCACTGGAAATTCTGAATGTAAAACTAGTTTTACTTACTCAAATATTCAGTATTTGGCAACTATAGAGAGATGGTGCATGCTCACCTGGTCAGTTCTTAGGAATTGATTGATTGGTTTGGTGGAGGAACAGATAGAAAATACAGTATTAACTATATAATTGATTGGTTTGGTGGAGGAACAGATAGAAAATACAGTATTAACTATATTTAAGTTAGGAAGTTTGTCATGATAATCCTATTTTTGTTAAGGGACTGACGATACAGATAAACTGTTGTGGTAGAATAGGGAATGGCCACTATATATTGGTTTAGGTTAAGAGTTAAATAATCAGACAAATATGGTGTAAAGGACTAGTTGAGTAATGGTTGATAAGAATTTATGGAGATTATTGTTAAATTTTGTACATTGAAATTTATCAAGACAATTAAAACATTCTTTTTTCTAGATAAAATCGTAAGGAAAGCTGGGAATCTGACAAATGCTTATGTTTATGAAGTGGGCCCTGGGCCAGGGGGAATCACAAGATCCATTCTCAATGCCAATGTTGCTGAACTTTTGGTGGTTGAAAAGGATAGTCGATTTATTCCTGGCTTACAGGTAAGATACTTAAAATGTCTTCTTTAGGAGGCAAAAAAACGATTTAAATCTTCAGGCCATGATTCTTAAACCTCAGGATATCTCAAGGATTATATAGGTTGCTCTTCAAACTGCAGATCTCCGGACCCCATTCCAGAGATTCTGATTCCATAGTTTGGAGAGGTCTAGGAATTGCATTTTTTTTTTTTTTTTTTTTACTTTTTGAGTTTTTGTTGTTTTTGTTTTGTTTGTTTTTTAAGATTTTTATTTATTTATTTGACAGAGAGAGCACAAGCAGCGAGAGCAGCAGGCAGAGGGAGAGAGGGAGAAACAGGCTCACTGAGCAGGGAGCCCCATGCGGGGCTTGATCCCAGGACCCTGGGATCATGACCTGAGCTGAAGGCAGATGCTTAACAACTGAGCCACCCAGGTGCCCCTAGGAGTTGCGTTTCTTTCTTTTTTTCTTTTTTTTTTAAGATTTTATTTATTCATTTGAGACACAGAGGTAGAGAGAGAGGGAGAGGGAGAAGCAGGCTCCCCTGCTGAGCCAGGAGCCTGACGCGGGGCTTGATCCCAGGAGCCTAGGATCATGACCCGAGCTGAAGGCAGACGCTTAACCATCTGAGCCAACCAGGTGCCCCAGGAATTGCATTTCTAACAAGCATCCCAGCATGGTCTGTTGACCACTACCTGAATAAACCTGCGTTATGCGTCAGTGCTAGACAAACTTGTTGCTTTGTGTGATCTTTTTTTTAATAGCCATGCATGTTCTGACCCATTCCTTCAAGAATAAGTAAATAATGCCAATAATGACTTAGTTACTGGCGTGATTTATGAGAACTTCATTTAGATTCAGAAAATCATTTCTACAAGCAAAAAATGGAGAAAACATAGGCTTTTTAAAGAGATTAATTGTTAAGCTTAAGCGTTTGGTAAGAACTTAAGTGAAGAAATGAAGTTGTACCACTGTACACATAGATTTAAGATGAGGTTTGAATGAAGTGATACATGCATCTTTAAAACAGTAGGTGCCATTGTTCTATGAGAAATATTTGAGGGAACTGGGCATGTTTCAGTTGGAGAAGAGGAGCCTTGGATGAGGGGATTCATAGCTGTCTCTGAAAAGGTGGCAGTGAAGAGGATAGCTTATTTTGATTTCTAAAAAAAGAACTAATACAAATAGGTGGGAATTGAGGGAGGCTGATGTGGATTTAAAATAAGGAGGGATTTATATTTTTTAAATGGTGGCAAACAGTGAAACCCATTATGTCAGGGATTTTGTAAAGGCAATTCTTCACAGGGGGGCACTTAATGACTAAAGGGCTTTGTTTGATTCCTCTGTAATTCTAAAACTTTAGAAGAACCCTTAGCCTTTGGCTTAGATGAATAGCAATTTATTTTGTGAGTCCAACAGAATAATAAAGTTATCTGCATTATTACTTTCACACAAGAGACAAATTGGTTTAAAATTAGTACAGTCTAATGCTTGTATGTGCAATAATTGAAAAAGGTTTCATTTCTACCAGAACAGTTTGAGGAAATTTGTTTGAAAATCTAGGGCTTTGTATGCATGCAACTGATTTTTTTTTTTTTTTTAAAGAAACCTAGTGATTTCTTTCTTCTTATTGGGCTACATTTTGTTTTATGCTTTAAAAAAATTATATAATATTTAGTTTTATCTAATTTTACCACTCTATTGACAGAATTAGTTTCAGATTTATAACTGTTTTGGGATTCTCATATGGTACATATTCCTTGATGTGGAATTTTAATAGTGATTTTTGCTTTGAACTACTTTCTTCTTTGAAGAACTGTATCTCACTTAGAGGTGAAAGTGGGAATATCTTATTTTTGGTGAGATCATGAGGTAATGAAAAGAAGCTGAATAACACTATGTAATTCCCTTTAGGTTTTTTCATCTAGCCCTTTCTGGACATGGGGAATACTCATCTGACTTTTTTGCACTTGAAGAGACTTCCTAACCCTCAGTCTTACCATCTGTTATACGTATTCTTTCTCATGAGGCAAGGAGGTGAATCAAATTTCTGTTCATCCCCACCTGAATTTACATTTTCTCTTTTCCTGATCTCATCTAAGCTCTTTGAAGACAGACTATTTAAAAGGCAACTACACGCTTCTCTTTTCAGCTGCCCCACCAAGACCCTGCACTCCTAACCCCTGCCTTGTTTTATTTGTCTCATTAGATTGATCATCTGATACACTATATTTTCTTACTTGTTGTCTATCTTACCCCTCTGGAATGTCAGTGCCAAGAGCATGGAGATTTTTGTGTGTTTCGTTCTCTGTTCTGTCTACCACATGTAACTGTGGCTGGCATGTAGCAGGTGTTCAATAATGTCTTCTATGGGAAAATAAAACGTTGATTAATGTATATGTATCTAACCAACTAAATATGTCATTTAATAGTGAAAATGAATAATTGTGCAGCATTGATTATTAAAAAGTTTTATGCTCTTTTTTCTAAATATAAAGATTTATTTCCAGGTAAATTGTTCTGTAAGAAATGTGTATTTGTCTTATCTGTTTCTGTAGAAGCAAAATTAATTCTTAGTGTCCTATATTACAGGAAAGGAATTTGCCTTAAAAAGAAATGTTGGGTACTAAAAATCAAATAGATTTCTTTTTCCTATAAAGAATGTTTCAATATGTAAAACCACTTTCATTTAGAGGTACTAAATTAATCATAAAACTTAATAAAGGCAAAAGGAGTGATCTATTTTAAGGATTCCATTTTAGTGGTTTCTGAGCTAATAGAATTACTTTTTAAAGAAATTGTAATAATTTATAAAATGTCTTCTAGCTGAAACTACGTCATTTGTATCCTAATCCAATTCTTATGATATCCTCGTGAGGCATCTTAGGGTTTTAGGGGAAAGAACATAGTGCTAACATACAGGCTTCATCATCAGCATGTTGTAAAGTAAAAAAACATGTCTCTTCTAGTATGTGAACACATAATAGGATAGTTTTGTGGTAAAGAACACAAACTTAAGTGTCAGATTGTCTGGTTTTGACTCTGGCCTCTGTCATTTACTGGTTATGTCTCCGGGCAGGTAACTATGTCCTCTGTGCCTCAATTTGCTCATAGGATTGTAATGAGGATTAAATTAATGCCTCATACTTAGTTAAGCACTCAATATAATTTTCGATGTAAATAATTATTGTCCCTCTGCCTTGGGCATCTGTTAATTAAGGATTGATCAGGAGACTGCTTATCTGGAAAGAGGTATAGGAGAACTGTAAAGTTATTCCTTTGGAACACTAGAATATAAATCCCCAGTGCTGTGGAAACGTTGGAGCTTTCTCCCAACTCCTCAAGTTAGCATTGGACATCTAGGGTTTCTTTCTCTTAATGTTGTAGCATTCTCTTGTGATTGTGCATTTTTAGGTTTTTTTTTTTTTATTATTTTTTAGTTGCTTATTGTTGTTACATTTTTATGGCTGGGTGGATTCTCTGTGCTTTGGAGGGGAGTGAGATTTTTTGGTACCTCAGGGTTCTGAGGTTTTGTTCTTCCGCCCATTTCTGAACTGGAGAGAACAATATAAGTAATACATTCTCCTTGAAGTAAATAATCTGGGTTCTTCATTTTTTTTCCTGTTTGTTATTAATATATAAAATCTTTAAAACAATCGTATTTATGGAGGGCTTACTGCACTAAGTACTTTGTTTTACAGCTTTATTGAGTATTATTGATGTGCAGTAAACTGCACATGTTAAAAGTACACAGATTACCGAATTTTGACAAATAAAATCTCCTGAAACCATCACCACAATCAAGATAATGAACATCCATCACCTTCAAGATTCCTCATTTTCCTTTACAATCCATCCCTCCCTCCTCCCCTTCCCTATCTTCAGACAACCATTATTCTGTTTTGTCACTATAGGATATTTCCCATTTTTTTTAGAATTTTATATAAATGGAATCGTACAGTATATGCTCTTTTTTGTCTTATGTCTTTTACTGAGCATAAGTATTTTGAGAATCATCCATGTTGGGGTGTTTATCAATAGTTTGATTTTTTTTTTTTATTGCTGATTAGTATTCCATTGTATGGGTATGCCAAGCTTATAAATCCATTCACTAGTTGATGGACTTTGGGTTGTTTTCATTTTTTGGCAATTATGTATAGAGCTATATCATTAACATTCACATGCAAGTCTTTGTGTGAATATATACTTTTATTTCTCTTGAGAAAAGAATTAGATGTGGAGTGTCTGTGTGTTATGGTAGGTGTATGTTAAACTTTTTATGAAACTACCAAACTTTTATAAAGTGGCTGTAGCATTTAACATTCCGTCCAGCTATGCATGAGAGTTCCCTTAACTTCACACGCTTCTCACACTTGGTATGGTTAATCTTTTAAATGGTAACCATCCAAATGAGCATATAGTAGTATCTTAATGTGGTTTTTATTTGCATTTTCCTGATCAGAAATACTGGACATATTTTCTTAAGATTTATTTATGTTTAGAAAGAGAGTGTGAGGGGGGCCAGAGGGAGAAGGAAAGAGAAAATCCTCAAGTACACAACCCACTGAGTGCAGAGCCTGTTGTGGGGCTTGATCCCAGGACCCTGAGATCATGACCTGAGCTGAAAGCAAAAGTCAGCCGCTTAACCCACTGAGCCGCCCAGGTGCCCCTGGACATATTTTCATGTGTTTATTTGCCATGTGTATATCTTCTTTGGAAAATTGTGCGAGCATTTCTTGTTTTGTCTTCGTATTGCTGTATTGTAGGAAATCTTTATATATTTTGTCAGATACATGTTTTGTAGTGCTTTCTACTCAAACGGGATTTACCTTTTCATTTTTGACATTTAACAGTGTCTTTGAAAGAGTAAACTTAGTTTTAATGAAGTACAGTTTATCAGTTTTTCCTTTTGAATGTGATGCTTTTTGCATCTTATGTTAAAAAAATAATTGTTAAAACAAGAACTAAGAATTTCCATGTTTTCTTCTAGATGTTTTATAGTTTCAAGTTTTTCATGTAGGTTTAT